TCCTACCATGTCTTAAAGCCAGCAGATTCACTGCGCCAGAGGAGTTGTCTGGAAACGTCTCCCGACAGCGCTGGCAGTTTTGATGCCCTTGAACCTGTACCCCGGAAGTGCAGAGAGCTCCTGGCCGGTCGCCTGCAGCCCCTCTGGAAACGGGGTGACCACCTGCGTGTAGATCAAACAGCAGGGCCCACCTTTTCCGAGGAAGAAGTGTTGGCCTCGCGGAGGCCGGTACCGCGTGAGTTTTGCTTTGGATGCGATATGTAGGAAACCGTGAGCCTGTCTGAACGAAGCCATCTGACCTTATTTACCAGGCAACCGGAGCTATTCCTCTTAAACCAGTGCTGTTGCTAAGCGATCGCTGGGAATGTTGTTCTTCCCTTCTTCCTAGCCTCTCCAGAGCTTGAGTTGTTGGCAGGATGGCCCTCGGCTTTCAAACCAGGGTGAAGCAAGCACCCAGGAGGAAGGGTATTTGCTGGGGCAGAAGATGTGGTTTATCCAGTGATGTTGTCCAAACTGGACGGATGCCCGGTTTATCAAGTTTTTTTTCCAACCTGCTGGGAGCAGTTATTTTCTTGCCCTCCTGCTTACCCTGCCTAGTGCAAGGACCCAAATGCCCCGTTAAGGAATCCTCAAATAACTCCATTTCCTAGATGGACTGGAAGATGTCCTCAAGCTGGTGGCTTCCTCTGAGATGTGGCCGAGGGTCAACCCCTTACACATGAATGAAGATATCCCTAATGCAACAGTTTTCATCCAGCGCCCCAAGAAAAAGCCTCTGCTCCCCTGCAAAGCAAGGGATGGGATTTCACAGCGGGTTTGGTGCCCGTCCTGTTGTGCAGAGCAGGGCCAAGGACCTGGATCTTCCCTGCAGCCTCAGTACCTCACACATACGTCCACGTGTCGTGTTGGCAACTTCACTGGTGGCTTCACTTGCTCCATGGGCAGGAGTTGCTTTTCTGGTCTGGTTTGCAACAAAGTTCCTCTACCAAGCTATGCAAAGGTGACATCTTTTGATATTCTTCAACTAGGACATGGTATGTGTGGGTCTGCTGCCCTTCAGACCCACAATCAAGGTACAGAAATTCAGCATCTATCTGGTTACACTGGGATAAGGACTCTGAATAATCCTATTCTTTCTGGGTCTCCCCCCAGTTTATCAGTAGGTGTCAGCAGAAAGCTCCTTCCTCGGTGACCACCTGCCATCACCAAGAGCTAATGAGGTTGCTTAGCTGATTTCCCGTAGCACAGCGCAGCGTTGCAGTGCTCAAAGTCCTGCTCATGGGCAAAGGGTGTTCGTGTCGCTTCACGCAAATTAAAACGGTCTCTGAATGAGGAAACTGGACGAAACACAATATTTTTGGGTTGTTATTGGTCATGGATGAAATGCAACTGTGGGAGATGGGTACAACTTGTTGAAGCTTAGGAAAGAAAGCGGAGGAGTGGCTGAGCGAAAAGCCGCAGGGGCAAGGCTGGAGCCTGGAGGGGTATCGCCCTCCCGCGCCGCACAGCGTGTAGCTGGGGAGCACAGCCGGAGGCTCGCGCGTGTGAGGGGGTCAGAGCTCACAGGATTTCGTGGTGGGGCCACGGAGTCCTCTCCCTGCACACACCGAGCCGAAGCTGCAAGCATCCCTTACTGGCAGCTGTGCCGCAAACCCATCCTGGAGCCGTGCTCGGCCCCAGGCAGCTCCTTCTGCCTTGACCAGGACCTCTCCTGGGTTGTGGGCAGGTCCTCCTCCCCATCACACGTCCATGGTTTCTTCACCCACCAGTCCCTACCTTGCTTTAAGTGCTGCAGCTTGACAGTGGGAGCATGTCAGCAGCAGAACCAACCTGAGGCTCTTGCACCTTGTATCAGATCAGCTCTTGGGAGAGTTGTTTTAAGAAAAAATCCCTTGCAGAAGAGGAGGTGTTTCCAGCTGGGAGCAGCCCTGGTGAAGGTGGCCCCAGAGCCACGTGTGTCA